CTGGGGTGGTGGGGTAGATTCCTTAACTTTATATAAGAATGAATTGGCAAAGAGAGATAACTTCTGAAAATGTTCCCATTGTAAACTGAATACTGCAATGAATGAGTCCCTTGGGATTAATAAGCTTTCCTCCTGAATAAAATCCAATGCATTATCTTTATCTGTCACATTTAGATTAATTACCACTCCTGTCTACAAATGAAGATTGTTTTGAAGTTAAGTCCATTTAAGTGGATTGAAGTATAAATGTTTTTACTTTATTTTTGTTGAAATACCCTACACAGTGAGTTCTGATTTCATTGAATTCTTAAAACAAGAAATAAATTAAAGAAGATATATATTTTTTTATTTTTATTTTTTTTTTCTTGCTTCATGTAAAGTCAAGAATATTATTGATTTTTAAGGTAGTAGGATAAAAACATCATTCTATCATTACTGAAAAAGTTCTTATTATAAATTCAGAAGAAAATGATGAGAGAGTTACAATTAATCTCTTGGGATTAATTATCTAGTCTGCTGCAGAAAATTTAGAAGGCTTATCTTTATCAGTCACTTTAAGATTAAAGAAAACCTTTGTCTGCAACTGCTGTTTGTTTTGAAGTTAAGGTCAATCCTTCATGATATGTATTTGCATTCATTGAAGGCTGGCAATTTATATAACACAAGCTTCATTATTGTTCAGATATACATTCATTGTTGAGATCTTCTTTACTGCCTTATGTAAATACAAGGATATTATTAACAGGTTTCTGGATATTCAGGACTTATCTTGAAATTTTAAGCTTATACAGTTGCTGTTTCTTATTTGTCATATATTTTTGAATCATTCCATAAGCTGCACCCTTATAATTTTACCCCATGGCGGGGCCCTTGCTGACTGGTCAGTTTTCTAGTTTTGTTAGATAACAGATGCTGAGTGAAACAGAAACGTCTAAACTTAAATTTATGACCCAAAATCCCTATCCCAAACTGGTGAACACAAGAGGTCTTGATGATTTAATTGCTATATTACAATACTATATTATACAACTACCGGTATGTATACTTAAGAGAAATACCATCTTCGCTAGCCAGAGGTTTCTGATACGCTACACTCTCCTCATAAACCCTTGGCCTACGGTGTTCATAAAAATCGGGATTTTTTTCCAGAGTTCTGATTGGATTTCAGTGCACACCTGTCGACCAATCATCAATTGTTTTTGTAAATGACGATATTTGCGTTTGGGATACTTTTTGACTCTTTAATCTCAGAATTGAAAAACCCAAGTAAACAACGATCCGTAAGATAACATGCAATTCTATGAATAGCTATGGTGTCATCCAATATCTTCTAAATATGTGATTAAGAATCTATATTGAAGCTTCCGATTTGTACTATAAGTAATAAATAAAACATTACTCAATTATTGCTTCTAAATTATTCTTGAAAAAACTTTAATATAGTTCTTTTAAACGTGTCTTTATTTCTGTTGATGACGCAATCTGTGCGTACCTGATAGATTCAAGATCACGTGACGAAAATAATCCCGTCTTCTGACTTCACAGTATGCCAAGGGTTTATGAGGAGAGTAGCGTATCAGAGATCCTTGGCTAGTGAAGATGGAGAAATACTTAATCAGTTGTTGTTGAAAAAAAAAGTTGCCATAAAATGAGGTTTAATATTATTTCAACATAGCTGTGTCGTGTGATTTTGTTCTACATTAATAAGTGTGTGTGTGTGTGGGGGGGGGGGGGGTGTCAGACATACTCTTGCCCCCCAGATGTGAAAGTGAGGGGGGCTAGTGCCCCTGCTGCCCCCCCCCCCCCCCTGTGACTATGCCTATGCAGTGGTATAATTTGGTAGACTAGGTCACTGGAGGAGAAGCAGTATAATTACCAAGCCAGTACCTACTTACAATGTATAATTACGCTTATACCACTGCACCACACAAGCAACAGCTTTTATTATAAGAATAAATATAAAATAGATTTTTAATTTGTCACACACAGTGACACTCTCATGACCTTGTATGAAATGACAAAGTGTGAAATGACAGATTAGCTTTATACTGTTATTATAATCTCTTAAAAATATTTCTCATTCTTTGTATAGAATCGCTTCATACATGTCAGGCACATTATCTGCTTTTGAAATACATTTACACATACATAAATATGATAACTATGTCAAGTACATGAAGTATACAGTAAAGCTCTGTTATAACGAAGTCAATGGAACGTACCTATAGTGTGAAATTGCTTAAAGCTATCTCCGTAATCCTTTTATCCGTATATTAAGGAATTCATTAAATTTATATAGCTGGGGATCCAGTATAACTTATCCTTGAATTTGCAATATCCATGTTCATTAACTAAACAAGTTTTACTTTATTGGGCCAAATTATGGTCTTTTGATTTTCGACTCGAGAATCTTCCAGTCCAGATTGTGATTTTTTATCAACATTCTTCATTTGTCTAAAAGAAATTGCTTCAAACTTCTTGGGCATATCTGCTACAATGTTTAAGTTATTTCTTACATGCTTAAATATATGAGCCACATTTTCTTGATAATATATATATGATAATGACTTCTGTCCAAAAACAATGAAATCAGCTGGTACTACTATATAAAGTTTTAATTAAGAAACCAAAAATGGATACTGGTTCATCTAACCACTCAATTTAATGCCACCCCTTACAGAAATTGCTGATAAGTGACTTATAAGTGATTTATTCTTTTACTTATAAGTTGTTTATTCTGGACATACACTTCACTGATACATTTAACTAATAAGTGACTTTTAAGTTACTCATTAGGATTTTATATGCAAATGAGCTACTTAACCTATAAGTGACTTATAAGCCAGCATTAGCCACTTATGCTTTATGCAGTATAGTCACTTATAAGTGACTTATAAGTCAAGCATTAACCCTTCATACTTTATCAAGTATTAGTCACTTATAAGTAACTATAAGTGACTTATAAGTGAAGTACAACACTACTTGTAAGATCTTAATTTAGAACAGAACTTTCAACCATGCAGGGGTTGCATGATATGTTCAAAGCTATTTTTTACATTTACACATGTATCTGCACTTTAGATGAAATAATCAAGTAAAAATTTTATGGAAAATAATCACTTTCATATGACATTTCTTTGATGATGCAAACTCAACATATTAATTCAGTTTACAAACAAGAATGTTGAACAAAAAGGCAACAAGATTTAATGACCTTGAGGCTTCCTCAAATTTATGAAATCTGAAAGCAACTGAGTCAATTGATTCTAAATTTCATGCAAAGGAAGTTAAAATAGAGAGATGATGTAAATAGAACCTGCTTGTTGTACCTGATGTGAAGGTATACTCAAAATAAATCTAAAATCTCCAACATCCTTTCACAGACACAAACTTGGTTTCAAATTCTTGTTGCTGATCTCTGCAGAGACAAACTCTCGGATTGGCTACCTTGAATACCCATAGTGCTCCTTGAGAGAAGTCTAGTATAGGGTAAAAATTCTAAGTCCACACTTATACTTCGCTCATACCAGTGATATGTAGCTCATCTTTACAAGTGAAGTATTAATGAAATCCATTCCTCACTTATACTTACTTTGACTTATAGTACACTTATAAGTAAATTTCAAAATTTATATGTGACTTATAAGTTACTAATAAGTGGATTATAAAACACTTATAAGTTTCTATTAGTTTTTTCTGTAAGGGACCATAAATTTTTTAAAAGATTTTGTGTTTCTGTGAATTGCCTAGTTTTGTAGTTCAGCATAGTTGATGTGGTTGAAAAGTTTAAACCACATTTGATTACTTGCCCTGTAACCCATACATGTATGTTATTGTTGCTGTATATCATACAATGAATAAAATCTAATTAAAATTAGATCTTTGATCTGCTCCAGTTTGACTGTAGCAATGAAACTGGAGGGGATCAAAGATCTAATTTTAATTAGATTTAAATTAATATGTATGTGACGTGGAAAGATTTTAAGAAAAACCATATTTCTACTTTACTAGTGCATAGTAAAACTTTCTTTTAACTAGTGCCAGGGATGGTTGATTCAGCTTCATTATAATTATCATGATTATATAAAATTAAAGTGTATTTCATTATATCCATTATATTTACTGTAACAATATACTGTAAAATTATATATACTGGGTATTTTCATGATGACAAATTTTCAAGGTTTTAGGAAAAACTCTTGCTTCATGAGGATTTTATTTTGTGGATGGTTAATATTTTAGTAGTTATTTAATATGTCATATTTTACATTTCATGGTGGACATAAATTTATGGGTCTCTTCGTACCTCAAAAACAACTAAAATTAACTCACCAGGAAAATTTGTGATTTTTATCATGTTTATAGTATATCAAAGTCATTGGAATGAAAATCACTTGTCTTCAGTGTGAGAATCAATTTATTGTAAGCCTGTTTTACTATATTTTTATAATGACAGAAGTCTCTGATATTAAGAAAAGAGTCTTTTGAGTATCATTACCATGATTACATATTGCAAAAATTCAGCTTTATAAATTAAAGTTAGAAGACAGGCATATTAAACTGCAAAGGATTTTAACACTGCAAAGGATTTTAACCCTCTACCCGGCAGTCACGCATTTTAACGTATGATATTTCCTATATCTGACACAAAATCCCGCATATACAGTTTCCCCGCAATCACGCATTTTCACGCACTTTAAAAAGTTGATTTAAACTTTAATTTATTGCCAAATTCCTTCTGGTTTATTCTTGTTAAAATCTCATAAAAGAAGAAAAGTTATTTTCTTATTAATATATTATTTCGTGATATTATTTACCGGGTATGCTAACCTTTAAAGAAACTTGTACCAGTCTATAATGTGCTTGCAGGGAAACGATAACATCATATTTCTATATGACGTGACATTAAATGTATGTTGCATAACAATTCAGTAAGTTGTAAAGAGTTAAAACTTTTCAAGAAAGTTTTATATAAATTATTATTTTCCATTTTCAGAAAAATGGTACAGTAGAACACCAGAGAAAAAGCAGACTCCATGAAGTGAATTGGGAACTGAAATTTGAGTGTCAACTATCAAATCTGATGAAACAATATGGATTTTCATCGATACTGAAAAATAAAATAAAATTGGAGTAGAGACAAAGCTTCATCAGGATATGATAAATTCAGGCTGAGTAAAACATTTTCAAGATTTGAAAATAATCATGGGGGATGCACCTGAAAATAAACAACATCTAGCAGAGAGTCCCCCAGAACAACGCCTGTCTCGTTTGTCAATTCCATCAACTTCACAAAATAAACACAAGCCTTCGGATGAGCAGAAATTAAAAGAATCAAAACAAAACAAGGCCAAAAAATTTCCCACCAGTCAAGGCCACTTCAGTTTAAGCACAAATTCTCCTAAACTTTCAAGTCTAAAACAGCCTTTGAGACATTTTCTAGTGTCTGACAAACCATTTTTACCAGTAACACCTTCAAGATTTACGCTGAACAAGAACTGTAATTCAAATGCACCCTTACAACTAAATGCTCAAAAATCTTTACAATTGTCAGATAATTACAAGAAATGTAACTCAAAAGCACCCTTAAAACTTAATGCTCAGAAATTTTTACAATTGCCAGATAATCAATTGAAAGTGGATCAATCAGGCATGGCAGTGCTCAGTTCCAAGGAGGTGGAACCCAAGCATGTTGATTCATCTTCCACTGCGTCAACTGAAACTGGTTGTACGAATAAAGTCTCATATACTTTTTCTTCTACACATGGAAGTGAGAGTGCAGTAGAAGGAGGGTCCCTCGAGGAACAATATCTGCTATCTGACAATCGTTGGAAATCTGATCTGTCACATGTGCCGTCTTCAGAAGACATTAAGTCTGAGGGCTTTGATTTTTCCCTTCAGAGTTTCCCAGAAACTGATTCCATGCATCAATTCTCCTCTGAAAATTCTCCACAGCCAAATTCAAATGTTGCGACAAAATCTTTTCATTCCTCATTTAGTGAGTCTCCAGGATTCCTTTCCATTTGCAGTGACTCAACTGATAATTCTTCATGGCAGGGAATAGAAATCTCCAACGATGTTAAAGTCTTGGATATATCATTGAGTGATTTTCCAGACACAGATTCCATGGGCAAGGACTCAATTGAAATTTTCTCAGAGCATGGAACTGAAGGGTCTGATAAAGTGAGAACCAGAAATTTTGATTTATCTTTTATTGAGTCCTTAGAATCTGACTCCAGGTGCAGTGACTCAACTAAAAAGTTTTCACAGCAGGGAAAGAAAGGGCCAAATTCTGAAATTATTCAGACCAAGGCTTCTGAAACATTATCTGTAAAGCCTCTCAAAACTGATCTCATGTGTGAAAATTATTCACAGCACAGAACTGAAGGAGCCAATTCTAAACCTGTTAAGACTAAAGTCTATGAGACATCAATTAATGAGCCCCCAGAAAACAATTCCATGTGTAATAACACAACTAAAACTCCTCTACAGCACAAAACTGAATCAACAAAAGAGCAATCAACTATAGGAGAGAGCCATGTCTCTGTTTCATTCCTACCCATCCCTCACTCTGAAGTGAAGCGTCTTCCTTCCCAGCATAAAAAAGGACGTATCACTGAAGAGGGCAAGGATCAGTTAAGCTTACGGGTGTCCAGAGTCGGTGAACAAGCAAATCCAAAAAAGAGGCAGCAGCCGAGTGGTCAGTCGAAAGACGTGAAAGAGAGGCTGGAGAACTTGGTAAGACAATACATTTGTTTCATTGTTATATATAAGGCATAAATCTGCTTTTATAAAAAGTCAGAAAAAAATATGTTAGCTGCCTTTTGAAGATTTCAACCTAACTCTTAATTTTTGGGGGCAAAATAACCACTCTCCCTCCATCTTGGCTTGGGTTTGAAATACTCCATCACTAAGTGAGCTGCACTTGTGTTAACAGGCCAATAAAGAACAAATTGAAAAGAAAAAAAATCCTCATATTTTTGTTATGTAAAAGTAATACAGGAAGGCTCTCTTTTTTTTCAATGAGCATGTTGAGATGGGAGGCAATTCCAATGAAATATTTTATTTTGGTTAAGTTCAATACCGTATACAAGTGAAAATCTTAGCAGGACGTAAATTTAGCTAGGGATTTAATTCTCCTTAAAAATTTGTTTTTTTATTTTTAATAAGAAATAAATTTAGCAATTTTAAAATGCTCACTAAAGACAATGCTAAATAGGCTATATCAAATAAAATGGTATTAACTTTTAATGTTATGATAATCTAATATTCAATTTTAGCAATCTCAGCACTTAATGCTATAGGCCTAATACATATTTAAATAAATACTTGCTAAAAATTCTGCTTATATACTGTATGTGGAGAAACACTAAAACACAGTTTTTATGAATATACTCATAGGGAAGTAATTTTTATTCCCCAAAGCTTTAAAATATAATGCTTACTTACAGTTGATATAATGAATTACCTTTTACACAAAACTAAATTGCCTATCCCTGACACATAAGCATGTGTTATTGTAAATGACAGGTCCAAGTCATTTTAGAAGTAAACCCCTTACTTTCTTTAAAAACTCATTATCTCATGATCTTTACTGTTTCCATTTCAGGAATTAGAGGAAAGCCCAGAAAAATCTTATGGAAAAAGACAAGCTTTAGAACAAGACCGAACAGAATCCAACAAGAAGCTCCGAGCTCTCAAATGTGAACACTGTAAACACTTAATGCAATCAAAAAACATGGAATTAGCTAATAACCTTGATATTTCATGTGAGATTTGTTCTAAAGAGTTTGATTGCTATTGTGCTTTGAATTTTCACAAACTGACCAATCACACTGAGAAGAGATCCCATTGCACAATATGTTGCAAGGTTATAGGTGACTCTGAATTATCCGAGCATTTACAGAATCGTGCGCAGACATCACGGGACCTAGTGATTACGTGTAACACATGTAATGCCAACAGAAATAAATGGTCCAACAGAACGATTTTTAAGAAAAAATCTTTCTGTACTCACCTGCAAGGGAAAGACACTCTTTATAACAATGTCTTAATCAAATGTCCTCAATGCTCGGCTGAGTTTGACAGACTGGAGATTTTTGAAAGTCATAAAGAAAAAATGCACTAATTTTCAACATGGTTCATATTTATAAGAATCAACAGATTAAAAATTTTATTTTCACAGTTTGAAGGTTTTTAACTTCAGTATATATTTTTATATACTGGCTATGTAATTTGTGCGACTGAATACAAGTATTTTTACAATTATTGTACATGATGTACAGATTACATGTAATTCTTGCCCCAAGAACACCATTATCTCAGATACCATGGGTATGTTGATGTGATTTTGAAGTCTTGTGTTTTCTTATTTTTTTTAGGTATTTTACAGTCAATATCTCAAATCATCAGATAACTTGATTTTTTTTTTCAGTCCCATTGAGTTTGAAATATCCAGGCTTGACTGTAAATGTTTTGTTTATTTGAACAAAACTCAAAGAAAACCAATTACATTTATGTCGGCTGATTTCTTTCAAAGATACTGAATGGAAATATTCAGGTATTGAAATTTCTAAATTTAAACCCAAAGAAAAACATTTTTGTATTGTATTATTTGATTGTTATTGGAAAAATTGTAAATTGTAAATAGCAGAAATTACTTGTTACATTGGGATACATATACATGTAGTTTTCACCAACTTGAAGTGTGCTATATGTAGCAAACACTTTCATGCTTTGGAATTCACTTAATAACAGCAAGGCGGTTTTTCTTTCCCAATGTTTATAATGTTATGTATTAAAACATGACATACATTGTATACAATGAATTACTCAGTTTATATATAAACATACTTGTCCGTCCCTGGCTTTTCTGTATAAGTGTGTTTAACTGTATCAGGTTTGAAGCAGCATTGACTGGCTTAAAAATTGCAGGGAATTCATGACATTTCATGTCTTTTTTATACATTGAAAATTGTACCACCTGTTTAAATATTGTGAACATCAAATAAAAATGTGTGAATTAAATTTAATCTTTCAATTTCATTTTAATATAAGTGTCATCCATGTGGCACGTACAGTAGTTAGAATGTCTGCACTAGAGGCATTGAACCTTACATTGCAGATTAGAATCCCACTGGGTGAGACATTAGAAACCAAGGTCCTGTGGCATAGTAGGTACTGCTATAATAAGATTTCTCACTGCTCAATGGCCATAACCCAGATAGCATGCTAACATTGGGCCAACGTTGGGCCAATGTCATGGGTTACATTGGGCCAATGTTGGCAAATGACATTGGGCCAATGTAAGTTTTCAGTAGGCCCAATGTTGGCCCGATATGTTGGGCCAACGTAAGCCCAATGTAGAGAGTTATTTCTGCAGATATTGGCCCAACGTTTGCCAACATTGGCCCAATGAATGCGACATTGGGCCAATGTTGGCCCAACGTCATCAAGAACATCGGGCCATGTTGGCAAATGAGAGCCCAATGTCATTTTGCTCATTGGCCCAATGTTCTCGATATATTGGACCAACATTGGCCCAATGTGTATAAACATTTAATTGTTACAAACTTGTATATTAACAAATCCGATCGTCTCTAAAATCAGAAAAAAATCTACCACCAATCCTATTTAATAAATACAAGTTGCCTAAAATAAATTTACAAGGCTTGTTAAACTTCTTACAATTTATCATAACAAAATAAATTGTCAGTAATTAAATTTATTGTTTCTATACAAGAGAAGTAAATGAAAGTATAAAATAACAAATGTGTTTTGATACAGTTAAAATTTTGAATAATTTTTTTTAGATTGAAATTCGTATCTAGTAAAATAAATTTCAAAAGTTTTCCACTCATTTAACTTATCATATACAATTTTTGTAAACAGGTTTATATGTCCTCCATTGTATTTTTGAACGGATTTTCTTCTTTCTTGTCCTGCTTGTTTTTATTTTTCCTTCATGATCGGACTCAGTGAAATTCCATAGAAATTGATTCAGCCTACAAGCGGTTAGTCCGAACAGCTCCTTTAAATAAAAAATAAAACCCATTTTATTAAGCAAATCTCAAAAAGCAGTACTGAATTTACACCATTGCATGTTTATAGTATTTTTAATTGATTCTGTGTATTCGAAACTATCACTACATAGGATATTCGATTATTTGTAGATTTAACATGTTATTACTTACTTTTTAAATCCTCATTATCTTTGAAAAAGCCGGATATCTTTATTTGCCTTCCAATGGAATTTTTCAAAACATGGCAGCAAATACTCTCCTCTTCATTCACCAAGTTTTTTCCACTAATTAAATAAAATGAGAACTTAATCATGAGAGATTTGATTTCCCTGAAACATGTGAAACACAAAGTAACAATTCCAAAATTTGTTTTCTTAATGGTAGAAATATAAGAGAAATTTATGAAACGAAAGTGACCCAGGGAAAAATTCAAAAATATTCAAAAATTAAATTTACAAATTAGATTTTGATTAAGGTAATAATAATTGACATAGATCAATGATACATTTTATTTTATAAGTTTTATACAGAAAGGATACAGTAATTAGCGACTGATCTAGTTACATATTTAATTTAAACATGTTAAAAATAAAGCAAACTTAGAAAAAGATAAAGATCGCATGAAACAAACTTTCCATTTTGTGTTCTAAAATCTGAAATACATGTTATTTGAGAGGTAAATATAGTACTTACATTTCGATCCGTATGTGAAATGTCTGGACATAGCTATAAAAATTAATCCACATTAAAGAATACACATTCCAAAGCTCTCTTTTTTAACACAAAATCTTCAACGTTCTGCTGTAGGAAACATCCGAGATTAAAATGTTAGGCGTGCTAAAAGGATGCAGATTTGACCATCCTGTCCTATCAGATATCACAATTACCATAGAAACTGGCCAGTCTCACGCTGTGCAAAACCCTGGCCTAATTGTTTGGTCAGAAAATGTTCTCTTATCTTAGAATGTACCCCCTAAATGCAACACTTTAGAAAGTGTGTGTCTTACTCGTCTTAAATTTTGTAAAATATGCAAGTTAATTTAAATTTATGTTATATTATTCTCAAAAACATTTACTAGTACTTTATAGAACTAGTAGTGTTTAAATTAACATTTACACATATTTTATTAAAGTTTCACATTAAATTAAAAGATATAGAAGTTATATTACTTGATACATCGTCATGCATGTTTTTAGGTACTCGTGGTTGGTATATATGTAGCATTAATGTACACAATTTACTATATTTTTTTTCTTTCACCTTTCCATCTTCTTGTCCGATCTTTTAACAAACAGTTCACATGTTTCCTGAATTCTGACTTCACTTAAAGTTGGTTCAACGTTGTCTATACAAAATATTGTATCGTAATAAGGTCGTGACTCACCAACATTGGCCTAACGTTGGGCCAATGTTGAACAAAATCTGCCAGCTTAGTGGCGACATGCTAACAACAATGGCCCAACGTTGTGTCACTGTTGTGTCCCCAACCAACCTCGGCCTCTGAGTAAAATATTGTAATGTTGACAGTGACCCAACATTGGGCCAACGTTGTAAACAGTGGTCTTACGTTGGGACATTGAAGTGTCCTCACCCCAGCTTCTAAGTAATAAGTGTTATGTTGACATTGACCCAACATTGGGCCAACGTTGTATACCCAACAAACTACAACAAAATAAGAACGTGATTCACCAATGTTGGCCCAACGTTGGGCCAATGTTGTACTCCCATCAAAATCTGTCAAATTAGTGGTGACAAGCCAACAACAGTGGTCCAACGTTGGGCCAACGTTATGTCCCCAACCAACCTCGGCCTCCGATAAAATTGTAATGTTGACATTGACATTTTTTGTGTCCCCAACCAACCTCGACCTCTGAGTAAAATAGTGTAATGTTAACATTGGCCCAACATTGGGCCAACGTTGTAAACCCAAAGCCAACCATCGGCCAACGGTCCAACCATTAGCCAACGTTGGGCCAACGTAGTCATGCTATCTGGGAAAGTGCTGAGTAAGGACAAATTCTTGACTGGCAAGTGGTGGCTGTCTCCTTTTGAGTGAAAATTATGAAAGGGATGTTAAACCACATAAACAAACAGATAATCATTGAAATTTTATATTTAAGGAAAGGAGCAAGATATATTCTGTATGTTAATGGTAAACATGTATGATAATCATTGATTTGATTTTTGCATAACTGTACCATATTACATTGTTCTTTAGTCATCATATTTAACATATATAATAAAGGCCATGTTCAATCTTAACAAAGGGCAAGGTCAAATTCAGTACAAATAAATGGATCAGGCAGATTTCATTGCTGGAAGCCAGAGAGTTCAGTTGATAGCTAGGGCTCCTCACTGCATGGAGATTCTAGAGGCTTCTCAGGGATCAAATTCTGGTTTCATCCTTGACAATTTTTCTCCCTCACTAAATAATTCATTGGTGCCTTGACCAGGATTGTGACAAGGTAAAAGACTGCCATGCATGTAGGGAAGAGCTTTGGTCTTGCAGACAAATCATTTATGGAAGGAAAGTTGTGGTGGTCAGGCAGTTTTATATATATAGGGACCTAGCAGCTAGAGTTTAAACCATGCATGATCTACTTTCAGACCCTAGTTCGCACCCTTGCCCATTTACATGTAAATTGATATTATTCAATCTTGCTTGTTATTTAGATACTCAATTTGCAGGCACGTAGCAACGGGGGGGGGAGGGGGGGGTGCCCCCCTTACTTTTTTTCCCCAACATTACCTTTACTATTGAAATAATGTCCATTGAAAGGTTGGTTGGCCCCACCACTTCTTACCACAGTACGTACATATTGTATAGTGATATGAAGGATCTGTAGTATTGTATGCAAAAAAAAAAAAAAAGAAAAAAAAAACTGAACGTGACAAGAAGCTGGACGTGAAAAAGTTGGCCACTACCCCCCCCCCCCCCCCTCCCCTAACAAAATAGGATTTTCGTGTTTGGGCAATTCCCTTTTCTTTTTTTTTTTTTTTTGCTTTTCAACTTTTACAGATAAGGGTGCCCCCCTTACTTTTTTTCCCCAACATTACCTTTACTATTGAAATAATGTCCATTGAAAGGTTGGTTGGCCCCACCACTTCTTACCACAGTGCGTACATATTGTATAGTGATATGAAGGATCTGTAGTATTGTATGCAAAAAAAAAACAAAAAAAAAAACTGAACGTGACAAGAAGCTGGACGAGAAAAAGTTGGCCACTACCCCCCCCCCCCCCCCCCCCCTCCCCTAACAAAATAGGATTTTCGTGTTTGGGCAATTCCCTTTTCTTTTATTTTTTGCTTTTCAACTTTTACAGATAATAAAAAAAAAAATTCTCTGGTTGTCCCCCCACTTTCAAAAACGATGCTACGTGCCTGATTTGAATATTAACATGTACAAAGCATGAGTATTTATTTATAATTGATAAATGCTAACTGCTTCCATTAAAATTTGCACTCCAAGAACATAAGAATTCTCATATATCTGTCTCACGATTATAGAGAAAAAAAATTAAAGAGACAGGTTTCAAAATATATATTATGTTAAAATATATAAATGTCCCTTTAAGATGCCCTTTTGCATTTCTTAAAAGTCTTTGTGGAACAGAATGACCGGTATGGATTTTCTAGGGGGCGAATCAATCGTGTTCAGTTTATTCACCGTCGGGTTCGTTATTCGGCTAATTCTATACCCAGTCAAGGCCAAAGAGAAGGGACAAAGCTGCTAAAAATCTTTCTGCACATAAAGTTGGATGTTACATGTATCTAGTAGTAAGTTGCCTTTGAGACAAGAATTAAGATTTCAAATAGAAATTGAACGTATGTGAAGGTTCATGTTGCAGGCGCTCACATAGTCTCCTGACGATTAATTGAAGACAGGTGCTTGCGCATGCCATCCTGGCAAATTTGTACACAGTTATGTAAACAGTGAGTTTTGTATCTTAAATTTAACCAGGTTGAGATCAGGGACGAGTTTCCCTTGATCAGTGGTATGTTTAGAAGCCTTGGGTAATTTCATCAGTATTTAGAGGGTTTGATTATAACATCAGAGAGGGGGAGATTGTGCAGAGCAGAGAGATAACTGTTAATTGTATCTATCTGTAGTGGTGGATCCAGGAATTTCATAAGGGGGTATGCAGGGTAAAAGAGTGGGTGGGGGTGTCAGGGGCTGCACTGAAACCCTTAATGAGTCGAGGGCAAAGGTATAGAGGTAAGAGTCATGGGGCAAAGCCCCCAGAAGCTGAAGAATTCTTTCTATTCAAATTCCTTACAAATAAAAGATACAAGAACTAAACTGAAGGTACACTCTTGAAAGACATCATTTCAAAATAAAGGGGAGGGGGGTATGGTGGGTTGGAGGGGTGTTTGGATCCACCTTTGAACTGAATCTAGATTATGAAATGTTCATTGTAAGAAAAAAGTCTTTGTAGTTTGGTTTTTTATTAAATGTAAATAGTAAAGTATATAGTCATCTGCTTTTGTTGCCTAATATAACTTATGTAATTCATTAGAGTGAGCCATTATGATAAATTACCGTTTAAAAAAAAATGTTTTAAAACTATGTGTCATTTATACCCTATAGTCTTTTCATCAATAGGGATCTTATGAGCTCCTACTGTTATAAAATTTCTAGTGTGTGAAAGTTAAGTATAATCTTGATCATATGAACAAAAATTTTAGTCATATTTAATATTATAGTGGATTTCATTTTCCAGGGAAAGTTGAAAATGGAGAAAAGGGAAGGATGTTCTTAGTGGGAGCCTAGAAAGAATCAAAAATGTGTGACAAATCCCAAAACCCAGAGAAGGAACAGAGAACAAATAGCTGTGGAGAAAGGGATCAACGTCCTGTCTTGAATGGGACTTATGGTCAAATTTTGAAGAGATTTCAAGAAGTTGTCAATGCCCAAAGAACTGGTGGTAATGAAAAACAGTATAAGGTGGTTATACTTCGACCAAAACCAAGTGGAAATTTGGGAAGCCCCCAAGCGGTCCCAAAGCACAAAGTTAACATTAAAACCTATCAAACCTTGGCAGCCTTTTCAAATAGCAGTTTACCTCAAACTTTTTCATCAGTTACATCTGATGGTGAACATGTTCCATCATCTGCCCCTGACATCAAATCTGAGATTAAATGTGAAGATAGTCAGACAATGGCAAGCTTTTCAAACAGCAATTTACCTCAAACCCTTTCATCACTTACATCTGATGGTGTACATGTTTTGCCATCTGTTTCAGACATTAAATCCGAGATTTGTGAAGACGACCAAGAACCGTCAAAGATCGCTTCAGGCTCGTGTTATGATACACAAATTAATTCTCAGAATTATCAAACATTTCAGATCTTCCGCACCTCTACATCAGGAGAAGGAATATCACCAGTTTCCCAAGAGATAAAATCAGAGGTTTGCGAAACCGATGTATCATCTGCATTATATTCACAGTCTGCACCTGTGCCATGCAGAGAGCTGCAGAGAGATTTTCAAAATTGTATGCAATCTGGCCCACCACCATATTTCTCTCACTACATATCTACACCCCAAGTCTCTACAATTTCTGAGGCTGTCAAGTCTGAGCCTAGTGAAGAGAATCTAGAATCTGCTCAGATCACAGAGTTTTCAACTGTTAAGCAAGAGTGTGCTTCAGAGGACTTTATCTCAAATGATAAATCTGTAGATGTCCTGCAAGATATCTATAGTGGAAAAGAAGACCCAGAAATGCTTAAAGAAATCAAAACTGAGGTTTATATTGAGAATTTAGAGTTTTCATCACATTTAGAAACTTCTTCTGTATCATCCAAAGAAAAAGGAAGACTCTTTGCAGAAAACTATTCCCTTGCTGCTGATTTCAATTCCCACAGCTCTTTCAACATACCTGAAGAAAATAGACCAGAAACTGGTTCAACAAGTAGAGTAATCAAAGATGAGGACTACTCTGTATTTAATCAATCATCACAGATCCAAACTGCAGAATGCAGAAGTTCATCAAATGAGTTGTTACCGACTGAACATCTTGTTCCTGTAACATTTATACCTACTATTGTTGATCAAAAAGAATCTGGTCAAATACGTGGACAAGCTATGGTAAGATTTTTCATTTATAATACAATATTTTGGAATAAACGCCCCTCTCTCCAAGCATTGTTTGATAATTTGAGAAAACATATTCTAAGCCCTTTCCAAGCTTACTTTATTTGATCACGCAGAACTAGCAATCTTTCATATTTATTTAATATTTTTACATTAACCATGTTAACAGCAGTTTTTCATGGTCCAGTGATTGAAATATGAATAGAATTTCTAGTATTATTAAAGAAATATTTTTTTTATTCATATGGAGGCCTACAAACTTGACTGCATACTTGCATTGATAAAAAAGCTTTTAAAATATCTTTAATATTACTTTAATCCAATAAATTGAATATTTTCATTTGCAGGATTCAACCAACAGGCAACCAATAAGCAATGCCTTAAATGAATTCATGCTGACTGGAAAGTTTTTTAAATGTGGATTTTGTGATGCCGCATACAAGGAATTGGATGAATTGAGGGAGCATTTTAGGACCAATCACAACCAAATATGTCTTGTTTGTGGAAAACCTGTACCCATGTTGACAGACATGCAGACTCACTTAGCCCACTGTCAACCAACGCAACAAGGACCTGTTTATGCAAATTGTCAAATATGTTCAAAGCTAGTAAGAAATAAGTCACTGGGCGTACACTATAGGGTCCATGGACTAAGACCCCAGGACTTAATATTTAGATGTAATACATGCGGTAAGGATTTCACATTTTGGGACAGAAACCTTAATTGCATGCACTTAGATGGACAACCTTCCACCAGCAGAAAAATGATTTTATTTTGCATTTTATGTAAAAAGGAGTTTGAGGAATTGCAACCATTTAAAGAACACTTGAAAGAAGTTCACAGAGTATCTGGACCAGAAATGTTCCCATGCAATATATGTTCAAAGATTTACAGTCGCCAGTTTTATTTACAGAAGCACCTGGAGAATCATGAAAAAAGAAAGCAGCGCGTGCTTGAGCGAGCAAAAATACGTAAGATGGAATCGAAAAAGTTTAGCGAATATCAGAAGCGTCTAAAGGCTTTAAAGAAACAGAATAAAAGCAAGCTCAGGAGGTGTACTGTGTGCAAAAAATTGGTAATTCAAGCAGGAAATACAAGGGTAAACAACGTAACACAGGGAAAGATTTATGAGCCTAATGAGTGTTTGTCAATGCAAGCAAAGAAAGTTTTAGATCACAAAGAAAATGTTAAGCTCCAAAGCAAGGAAAATGGGAAGAAAAAGAGTGTCAGTTTTATGTGCACAAAATGTGAAGAGCGCACTAAGCTTAAATTAACTCTGTTGAAATGTAGGATGGCCCAGAAAGTCTACAGATGTCAGATTTGTTCACAGACATTCATTAAGTTAATTCACTTGAAATCACATATGAATAGTCATGTGTCTAGCACAGAAAAAATCTGCATTATCTGCAGGAAGGCATTTAGTCAAAACCGAAATCTTAGGCTCCACATAAAGGGTCATGCAGACACGAATGGCTTTTCTTGTAAGTTTTGTTGTAAAAAGTTCACTTATTGTCATCAGCTTGATATTCATAGTCAGTTACATTACAACCCAGAACTTCATTGTGATGGTTGTCACCTGGACTTTGATAAACATTACCGATTTGTTCTCCACAAGAAAAAAGATCCCATAATGCATAAAAGAAAATCCTGTTCAAAGAAAAAAACTCTGCACGCTATGAATCCTGGGAATCAATCTGAATCTTTCAAGTGCGCTGTCTGCGGGAAGAAATTTAGATACAAAAAATGGTTAGACCATCACCAAATGACATTTCAGGACTTAAAGCACAAGAGATTTTGCTTTGTGTGTGGAATTATGTTCAAACTACCAACAAAAATGAGAAAACACATGAAAACTCACACAAAGGCACCGGAAAAATCGAGAAGGTCTTTCCTTTGCCACATCTGTGGTAGGCTTTTCAAACAAATTTCAAATATGTGGGGCCATATAAGAGCCCACACTGTGAAAGAAATTAAAAACTCTGGGACACTAAGGCGCCCCCCTGACAGGAGTTCTGTGCACGAGTGTGGTCTGTGTGTCAGGGTGTTCTCTAAGAAAAGTTACTTGCTGATACACAAGAAGGTACACGAGAGGCCGGACACTCAAAAATGTCAAGTCTGCAACGGAGTGTTTGGTAGTCTGGGTGCCCTGAACCGCCACAAGCGTAATGTACATCAGATGTACATCAACATATCTAAGCAGATTGAATTGAAGTGATTGAAGTCTTGCAAAGGTGTAAAAATCAGATATGTGCATACCATTATGTGAAAAAACGATTCTCAAAGGAAAATAAAATGTATATGAAAAGTAATTTTATTTGTAGATGTACAAAAACTTGTTCTGTGTCTTAACATGCTTAAAGTAATACAATTTTTTAAACTTGATTTTTTTATTTTCAACTTTGCTTTTCTTAAATCAATTTTACAATCTTGCAGATTCCCGTAGATGCTAAATGAGTACAAACACTGTATATTATTTATCTAGGTTACCAAATGTTAACATATTGTTCACTGTTCTTATGTAAAATTATCTCAAGTTTAACTTCTTTTGTTGGGGGTATATCCTTGTATCTTTATAATACAATGTACATGATTGGAACCATTGAAAGCTTTTGTTCGAACTCTTAAAATTTATTGAAAGGTCAAGATAGTTACAGAAAATTTCGGTTTACTTGTAGATTACTTGTTCTGTGTCTTAACATGCTTAAAGTAATACAATTTTTTAAACTTGATTTTTTTATTTTCAACTTTGCTTTTCTTAAATCAATTTTACAATCTTGCAGATTCCCGTAGTACTGTATATTATTTATCTAGGTTACCAAATGTTAACATATTGTTCACTGTTCTTATTTTTTAGTTTAACTTCTTTTGTTGGGGGTATATTTTTATAATACAATTTTCATTGAAAGCTTTTGTTCGAACTCTTAAAATTTATTGAAAGGTCAAGATAGTTACAGAAAATTTCGGTACACATTTCAGAATAGAATGAAATTTGAGGTTCTCATTAAGAGTTGTTGTCCTCCATTTTCACTGAAAGTGGGGAAATATTAATTAGGGTAAGTCTGTATTTCTGTCTGTAATACTTTCCAAGAAGCTTTTGAGCTTTTGAAATAAAATGCTCTTTGCTGAAGGAAGCCCCCTATTTATTTTGAGGTACCGAGGTCAAGGTCATTAGAACAATTCACAGATAAGCTTGGACTTTTAGTAAGGCATGGCATTTTGATGCTACATAATTAGCCTCTTAGATTTACACAGTTTTCCCTCACTGTTGTAATATACGTAGGATAAAAATTCAGGCAAATGTCAACTGTTGTGTCAAATAGCCAATTACAAGTTCTCGCACGGCTCAGAAGTGGGGCTTAAGTCGTCTCATCTTTGTCAACAACATTTTAAAGTTTCTGATGTGATATATTTTTTAACCAGTAAAAATCTGATCACTATTTGACAGACGCTAATTTAACATTGCGCCAAGAATGACTATTTTTCAACTTACTGAAAGTCCAAGCTTACTTGAGAATTGTACTAATTCATACATTCTGTGTGTTTATGTGTAAAACATTCATTTCAGGGTGATACATGTATCTCAGGCAGCTTGTTAGTTTTTGCAATATTTAATTTTAACCATAACCCCCTATTGCCCTGCTCCACCTCCTTAAAGTGTACACCCTCGCCCCCCCCCCCCCCCCCCCTTTTTCAGCTCCTGACTTGTTCTTTTTTCCTGTGGCGGGGGACACGGATTCTCTGAATAAGCTTGTTACTACAGTGTACATGTAGAGCAAAGGAGAGTACAGGGCATCATGTTTATCATAGGTTATGGATTAATATTTTGACTTCAACCTATTACTAGATCAAAGGTTAAAGTATCATAGCTTTTACTTTTAGTTGATAGAAATGGATTGTTTTAAGTACAATGTCTGAAATCACAGATTGCTGTAAATTAATATAATAAATTAATCTAATTAAGAATTGTGTTTCTTATAATTTGACCAAATGTTGCTAGCTTAATAGTAAATATATGGCAATGAAGTGGACTACACATAATTATTTTTAGGTCACCTGAGTATAAACTCAGGTGACCTATTGCTATCTGTTTTTGTCTGTTGTCGCACGCTAACATTTAAACATTTTCAGCTTCTCTGAAACCACTGAACCATATTTCAACCAATTTTGGCATATAGCATCTGTGGGTGAAGGGGAACAAAAATTGTGAATTTCATGGCCCCTGCCCCCCTGGGGCCTGGGGGTGAGGCAAAAACCACTAAAATTAGTGCATTCTTTAAAAATCTTTTTTACTCCTGGACATCAAGCAGTCAAACTGTTTGTATGATTGTAATCAGCATTGAGTCCTCTACCAAAATAGTGAAATTCATGGCCCCAGGATCAGGGGCCCTAGTGCTAGGACGGGGCTCTATTGATTATATAGTGAAATGCATTAATTCTTTGAATATCTTCTTCTCCACTCCTGGATATTAAATAAACTAATTAAGTTCATAGTTATGATGAGCAAGAGTGCCTCTATCAAAATTGTGAATTTTATGGACCCAGGGTCAGGGATTCTGGTGTTAGGGCGGGGCTCTATTGATTATATAGCGAAAATGCATTAAAACTTTGAAAATATTCTTCTCTGCTCCTAATATTAAATAAACTAACTAAGTACATAGTTATGATGAGCAAGAGTGTCTTTACAAAAATTGTGAATTTTATGGACCCAGGGTCAGGGGCTCTGGTGTCAGGGGTTAAAGTGTTAAGGCGGGGCTCTATTGATTATATAGTGGAAATGCATTTATTCTTTGAAAAGCTTCTGGGTATTAAATAAACCAATTATGGACATAGTTATGATGAGCAAGAAAGCTTCTACCAAAATTGTGAATTTTATGGCCCCAGGGTCAGGGGTTATGAAGTTAGGGTGTGGCTCTATAATGATTATATAGTGAAAATACATAACATCTATAAAAATCTTTTTCTCTACTCCTTGGTAATAAGCAGATGGACTATTTATATGGTTATGATATGCAAGGGCTTTTCTTCCTGAATTATGAATTTCAAGGCCCCTGGGTCAGGGATACCAAAGAAGTGGGGGGGGGGGGGGCTCTACTTATATACTAAGGCCATTTTTTTTTTATTAGTTGTTTTACGGATCCGCCGACCCCATTTTTCAAAGTTTTGGAAAAAAAATAAAAATTCCATTCAACCCTTTTTATATAATCGCCGTCGAACTTTACTTCAAACATATTAAAAAAAATCCAGAAAGGACCGTACATTGTTTGAATTTTACTTTGTTGTGATCAGAATCATGTAAACGCTTCTACTATCGACCCTTTTAAAAAACTTTGCAAGCGTTTTAAAGTCAGAGATGAAATTAAGTATGACGGCCATGTGTGAAACATTTTAGGTTTTTCAAAACAGAATATAAATGTTTTAAAGACAGTAATAAATGTATGACGGTTTTTATGAGCTGATCAGGCTGGTGATTATTCCGTATATGATGTTATCTGATCAGCGAATGGAGCGTGGTTGAGGAAATTACAGCCAAAACCAACGAAGCTGATGTCGTCACTTGCACTCCATCCGACACCCATAACTTTTCTTTGAGGGTTTGGCGAAGTTTTAAACAGTTATATCTAATGGTTAGTTAACAGTTCATATATTATTTATGACATTTTTAAAAGCACATGTTTGACTGTATTTTAAAAATCTGCAAGACGTGTTGTCAATTGTTAACAGGTCCAGTCCAAAGACTATTTCTACCTACGTAGCTATTAATAGCTACCTAGGTATTTAAAGCTACCAAAAGTAGCTATTTTTACCTACTTTTTATAATTTCTGCATTTTGCGGCCCAAAGACCAAACGGCGCACCATGGTTAATACCATATCTTTTGATACAGTCACACTAATGATAAATACGACAAAATTTGGCCAAAAAATGATTACTTTCTGAATCTGCAATTTTACATTAGTTTCTATGCAAAATTAATAATATACGATGTATGCATTTTTTGGCCAAATTTTTGTCATATCCATCATCAGTGTGATTGTATCAAGAAATTTTGTGCTCACCATGTTGTGCCGTTCCTGCATTTGGCCACAAAATGAAAGTAAAGCAGAAAGTAGGTAAAAATAGCTACTTTGGGTAGCTTTAAATACCTAGGTAGCTATTAATAGCTACGTAGGTAGAAATAGTCTTTGGACTGGACCTGGTTAAAGCATCAGAGAAACAAAAAACTTTTTTGTCATTGTACTGGTATGAATCTATCAAATGAAGTGAAAGAAATGTTTCTTAAAGTTTTAAATTTTAGATTTTGAAAAGGAACTGACTCATCAGGATGTTCTAAGACAAAAAATGTTTGTATGAGAGTCATAGGAATGTGAAACCCTATGGGGATGACTTATCATTCTAGTAAGTTTATTTGTGTCCATTGATTGTGCACTGAATTTTAGTTTTATACTGTTTAATACTGTTTAAACCCCAAGACAAATGTGTATTTTGCTTTCATTTTTTTCAAGTTTTTTTTTTTTAAAGATTCAGAAGAAAGGTATTATCTGAATTTGATTAAACTTTTATTATTTTACAGGGGGTTGTGTAAAATTTGCTGAAGTGTGTTTATCTGAGGCAATGTGGATGTAACAGTGAGAGGACACCTGTATCCAGTCATAGACATACACAGAAAAGTTTAGCATTGTTCAGATAATATGTCTGCTCTGAGAATCGTTCTCTTTTAGTGAGGAATGCCAAGAAAGACATTTCTGTGCAATGTTCTGAAGTTGATTTCCCCAACTGCTTTGATATGCTGCATATTAAAAGTTTTGAACATTGAAATCTTCGTTTTTTTTTTTTTTTTTTGTAGCCACCCAATGGACATTTTCCAAAAAAAATCCGTAAAACAACTAATAAAAAAAAATGGCCTAAAAATGAATTGTTTGAAATCTGCTCCTTGATATTAATCAAACATTTTTGATAAGCAAGTGTGCATTTTCAAAAATTGTGCAATGTGTAGACCTAGGGTCCGGGGTTCATTTGTGGTAGAAGCACTCCAAACCTGATTATTGCTGAATATTACTGATTAATAGTTGACATGCATTTTTGTTCCCTACCCTGCTGATGGGTATTGAGTAAACAAACTAACCATTCGCTAAGTGTATAGTTATGATTAGCAATTGTGCCTCTTTCAAATTTGTGAATGCCATAGCATCTAGCTAAAAATATGAACCACATTCGATCATTTAAAAGTTGTTGCATGATGCTCAGGTGACCTATAAGGCCCATGGGCCTCTTGTTTTAATTTTACAAGATTGCACACTTTTCTTTTCATAATTTCTTTCTATGTTAGTCACAATGCCCAGCATTTTTAATATCGCAGGTTTTAAAGCAAATGGTTTTAGGCGCTTATTTTGCACACTTAATCTTTAGACCATCAAACCTTGTCATTTACATGTATTTTAAAATCTGAAGGTCTTGGAATGTACATTGTATCAACCAAAAGTAGGCCAAATTGATATACTTTTGAAATTTCATGGCTTTGTTTATTAATATTTTGGATGAGAATTATTATGTATTTGGAGAGATTTATTGCATTTTCATTCAGTTCTTATTACATGGAATTCAAGTTTACACCCTATTTTGGGAAGGTTTTATCTAACCTAGGCTTATTTTGATAAAGCCATAATTTTTTTAAGTAACAGTGACCTACTCTTTAGTTGAACTACTCTGTGGAGCCAAGATGCATCAACTATAGAGTTTAATGATTCTAGGCCAAATAGTACCTGAAATATTTCATTTATATAGCCATAAAAATTGAAAAGTAAGTCACATTGACCTACTTTTCAGTCTACAGGGGACCCAAAATGCACCAACTGACAAAGTTTGATGATTCTAAGCTAAATAGTATCCATTATTTAAATACAGCCAAGTAACTTCAAAAGTAGGTCACTGTTACCTACTTTTCACTGGAAGTTTTTCAATGACCTTAACTGCATCAAAGTTTCAGGAACATAAGCCTTTAAAGCCTCATAAATATGTACTTATGTCATTAGCATAATGCCCAGGAGCAAAGGATCAACTGACAGATATAAACATTGAATCCTCTTTCATTAGCATGGACTCTGCCTGCTCAGTTTTCCGAAACAAAACACAAGTGCTTCTGCTCATTTTTAATCATAATTTTTAAAAATAAAGAATACAGTACATGTATTAAATTTCAACATTTCAACAACCAAAATGATACAATGGTTGTGAGATATTAGACTTGCACTGTACATCTAGAGGTTTCATCGCTTTAAACCCCAAGACAAATGTGTATTTTGCTTTCATTTTTTTCAAGTTTTTTTTTTTTTAACTTAGTTTCATTCAGAAGACAATGGTGTCTTCATTCAATCAATTTTTTTCCTTTCCTGGTCATTTTTCCTCTCAAAATATAATGTAGCCAGTCTTTCATTAACATGTTAATGCAATAATTTACAATGTTTGATCTCTACTCAAGGTCTTTATAACAAAACAATGCCAAAATGCCTAATCTTGAAGTAAGTGTAAACTTTTAGCTCTACAGAGCAATCCAAGATGAAACATTGTATCCATAATTTCTTCTCAATCTTTTCTGACTAAGAAGTTGTAAGGCTTTGAGTAGTGGATGATACTTTTCTTATTTTCCATCGGATGACCATGTGCTAAGTTTGATAGATGCTCCCTGTCCAACTTCAAACATGTGAAAATGATCTGTAATACATTAATGTATAAACTGTGTTTTGAATAAAACCATATACAGTGGAGCCTCATCTATCCGCATGCTTTATTTCCCAGTCAATTTGTCCGGATATCTGAATTACCAGTTAAACAAGACAATAAATATCCGTTCCGATGAAAAATTGTCCGGATACTGAAGCATCCGGATATCTGGCATCCGGATATCTGAAGGACCATTGTAATTCTATATGTTTAAATACTGTAAAATCAAATATTTTCAAGGGGTCAAATTTTAGTGGTTTGAGGAATATCTCTTGGTTTGTGGGGACTTGATTTCTTGGATCAAGAATTAATGATTGCTTATGTATGTAACATTTTACATTTCTTGGTGGACATGAATTTGTGGGTCTCATTATACCTTGAAAACAACGAAAATTAAACTCTCCTGAAAATTTGTGATTTCACAAGATTTTATACAATAATGTTTTAAAAATTTTTTCAAATGGACTGATTTTAGTGACAAGTGATTGACAAGCTTCAATCAAGTTTACTGATCCCTTCCATTGATAAAATTAATAAAATAACTAACCGTGTTCTTAACACAAATGATTCCTAAATTTGTATCCTGTAAAGTGGACTTTTTCCATTCTACAAGCAGCTCTCCCTCGTGCCTTCCTAACAAGCTCTCCATAGACTAGTCTGTAAACTTCATATTTCTGATGTTGAAACCTGTGCTAGACTTTTCATCATGTGCAAGAGTCCACCTCTTCACCTGAAATTACATTTTTAATGTGATTATTTTTATAAAATTTTCAAATTTGATTATTCATAACCAGAAGTTTATGATGCCACTATATTTCTATATTTACAGTAAAACGCAGTTAGAACAAACATGGATATTGAAATTTCATGGATACAGATTTATCTTGGATCCCCAGCTATATCAATTTCACCAATTTCTTTTACAGATATATAGAATTAGGGATACAGCGAAGTGATTTCATAGGTCTCTGGCAGTGACTTCATTATAATTGAGTTTTACTGTATTTGTAATAAAAATAAAGGAAGACATGCAGTCACTGAGTCTACAAGCACCTGGACTTGCAAAAAAATAGTTTTACATTAAGAGAATTATGCTTTTGATGTGTTTAATTTAACCCATTGCAAGTTTTAACATCAAATCAACTGTAAACATAGCAATTAGTTAGATATTTTTACATAAAAACTAATTTTTGTTGGGATTTAATTTGTGGTGTTTTCAAGGTATGGAGATCCCACAAAATCATGATCACTACAACATGCAATTTAAAATTGTGCATATGTATTACTACTAAACTTTTCTCCAACCACAAAATCAAATCCCCACAAACCAATATTTCTTTCTCAAACCTAAAAAAAATTGACCCCATGAAAATTTGCAACTTTACAGTCATTCATCCATTAATTATCTAAGTTCATTGCTCAGGGAGAATTTTAAAAATGTTTGTTGTTTTAATGTCCCTCTCCAGAATTATTTATTCACTTGAAGACCATCACTTGTTGATGCATGCCAGGATCTACAACATGATACAGCGACGCATGAGGACCTCAATTTACACACTCATTAAGGACCAGTTTCCACGTCCCACAGTGGATTTGAACCTGCTACCTAATTATCGTCTCCTTATTCCATGACCTAGACCAGACACACTAAGCACTGCACCATGTGGGCGACTATAAAATTGGAATACACGACTGCTTACCATGATACGTTTACGGTACATGTATACAATATTACTCAAAATTATTAATCAGATTTGGAATTACTTATTTTGCTTTTAGGTGTTCAAATGCAGCACACTAACCTCTCCAACTGTTGCTGTCATCAGGGATCTCCCTGTAACCTTAATCTTAGATCTGGAACACTGGTTGTATCTACTCCATCAAGAGCCATTCTCTGGCAAGGCATCGCCTCTCCTGCAAAATTTGAAATTACTATTATTTCATATCAATATTCGCCATCTCTCTTAGGATTTTATATGTAAGAAATAAAAATCTGCATTCATGTGTCATAAAATACTAGTAAAATGAGTGGTTCAAAATATTATAGAGTGATATTATATTCTTTATTTTTACTTTCATGATAAAATCATCAAAATTAATGTAATTGGAAATGAAATGGTTCAAACAAAAGGTCCAATGGACCACAATGCTCATCTGAGTAAATATGGGCCTGCTGTTATTCACTAGACAAGAGCTACCCAAGTGAAATATCTATCATGGTCCCATCCTACCATCCAGGGGTTCATAATTTTTAAAAACATATTAGAATCTATACTACTTCAGAAAGCTTCCACATAGTTCTCAGTTTTTCCGTCCAAATGGTTACACAGAAAAAGATTTTTCCAATGTATTTCAACATTTCTATTATGGCCCCACCCTTAACCATGATATGAACAATTAAGCATGTTCACTACAAGATGTTATGACCAATTAAGTTTAAGCTTTCATCAAATTCTGGCCCATGGTTTTCAGAAAAATATTCTTAATAGCCTTATTCTATTTTTGTCTAGTCTGAATTAACTCCCTTTGTAAGGGGGCGCTGTCCTCTGTTTTGAATATATAAACTGCCCCTCATGATCATCCAAGGATGTTGTGTACTAATTTTTGTTAAAATGTCCTAGAGGTTTTTAAAAAGAAGTTGAAAATGTGAAAAGTTTACAGACTGATGTACAACAGACATCATGTGATCAGAAAAGCTCATTTCAACTTTCAGCTCAGGTGATTGGAGCTGATCGCAACAAAGACAATATATATAACTCATTTTTCAGAACTGAATTCAAATGTGTGACCAAAGGCATATATTTTTTTTAAAGTAATCAATTTCATAATTTATGTATATTAATTGAGTCAATACCCTTCCTGCTTCTGAAAAAAAAAAATTGATGGGAAGATAATCTGAAG